CTATTGTTTATTGTTATGCACCATTTTGAAAAATATTTGTTATAAGATTTAATTTCTTTGTATATTATTCATCATTATATATGTATATCCTTCATTTATATTCTACTATGATATTTCATACCATCACATGAATCTCCACATGCTCGGTTTGCAGCAGGGTGTGGTGCCGCTGTAATTTACTGTGTTTCTTTCCATGGAGGATTTTGCCAAGTTGTATTTCAGCTCTTATCTGCAGAACTTTCAGTGGGAATATCTCTCTTTGATTGGACGTATCCCATCACACATAACTTACCCAAAACTCAAGCCAAACACTCTTTCAGCTGAGCTCCAGGTAGTGTCCGCTGAAGTATTTGGCCGGTGTTTCAGTGTTTCTGAAAGCTGTATCTACAGCATGCTGGTACTGCAGAGCTCATCTGGAGCCTAGGTGTCTGTGAGGAGAAGCAGAAAACACACACACACACAGACATCAGCTAAACTCGCTCATGACTTGTGCACAAAACACACTTCCCATATCCGCGAAGGTCTTGTGATTCACTTTCCTCACTTCAGCATTTTTATGCATTTGTTTCATTCATGATGCCTGCTGTTTACAGTGACAGTTTTTACATATCCAATCTTTCAATGCATATTTTCATTTTGCATAATAACCAGCTGCAACCAATTGTGCATAGTAGCCTTCACCTTTTGTCTATACACTGCAAAAATATCTGTTAAATACCATATCTGTATTTTGTGATTTATTTAGTCATTTATTTACGGTTATGAATTGCATTATGGGATGTTGATGTCTGCTCTGTCCACATTTTATGTTGAAAATTCAACTCTACAGTTTAACAAAGTGACTTTTATTGACATTTTAGTTGTTTGAAATAATATAATGTATACAAAATAATAATGTCTAGAGAAATAAAATAACAGAAAATATGCTGGTAGTTCATTAGAAGGTTTCTGTAGCTTAATATACAACAACAACCCAGACAATATAGCACTGAAGACTATTACAAATGTTCACAAAAGTCACTTTTCCAGGTTCAAAGTTGTTTAAAGAAAGCTCAAGATCCTATAATGCAATTCAAAAGCATAAATAAAGGTGAGAAAATAAAAAATGAATCACAAAATATATAAAACTGATAATTTATGGATATTTTTTACAGTGTAGGTTATCACAACTTGTATTATTTTTGTATCAGGAACACCACTCTAAACTACACCACCAAAATCGGACAAAATAATTCATAGAGTGCAGCTTAAAGGGTTAAGAGTAATGGTAATTTTACATTTAATCACACTCTAAAAAAGGGCCGGGTTGTCGTAACACAACCCAGGCTCATTCTGAATACGTACCCCTATATATGTTTCTGGAGAGCACCAAGATCTCAAATTTCTCTCACAAGTGCCATTCACACCTGCTGTTCTCTTATAAATCCACCAGAGGCCGCTGTCAACTGACTGACTGACTGATCGACTTACCCAACCATCTCCTTCCCTAAACCCAACCAATAGTGTTTTCAAAAGTACAGATTGACCGACCCACTTTCCTAAACCCAACCTACAGTTTTAAAAAGCAATCCAGAAAAGGAAAAGCCCTGGTGGGATTTTTACCACATTTTCAGATTTTACCACATTCTCACCCTGTTATTTATTTAGGTTTTGGCATTTGTTTTTGCCTTAACTATTTTCTGGCACTGTTCTTCACCAGACTCGAATTCCATCGTCGTAGTTAACTCTTTTCTGCGTCTGATGTCCTTCGATGTACATGGCGAGCTAACTGGACAAACTGGTATATATATATATATATATATATATATATATATATATATATATATATATATATATATTAGGTGTAACAGTGGCGCAGTGGGTAGCAAGAGTGCCTCACAGCATGAAGGTTGCTGGTTGAGCCTCGTCTGGGTCAGTTTGTGTTTCTGTGTAGAGTTTGCATGTTCTCCTAGTGTTGGCATGGCTTTCCTGTGTGGTGTTTACAGTCCTAACACACTATAGGTGAATTGAATAAAATTGTCTGTAGTGTATGAGTGTGAATGAGTGTGTATGGATTTTTCCCAGTACTGAGTTGCAGCTGGAAGGGCATCCACTGTGTAAAACATATGCTGGATAAGTTCACGTGGGTTTCCTCCGGGTGCTCCGGTTTCCCCCACACTCCAAACACATGCGGTACAGGTGAATTGGGTAGGCTAAATTGTCTGGGGTATGTGTTTGTGAATGATGCTTCCCAGTGATGGGTTGTGGCTGGAAGGGCATCGGTTGCATAAGCGAACATGCTGGATAAGTTTGCGGTTCATTCCGCTGTGGCGACCCCAGATAATAAAGGGACTAAGCTGAAAATAAAATAAATGAATGAATAATTATTGCTAATATTTATTTAATAACACATTATTAATATTTGTAATATGTAAACATTAATACAATAATAAAATGTACATGCACATACACACATAAAACTTAGTAAAAATAAAAATAAAAGGGTTTTCTTAAATTTCCATTCCTCAGAATTTTAATTGTGATTAAAATTTGGTGTGATTTTCAGTCACAACTAATAAAAACTAAATAAATTTGTTAATCTGACCAGTTGTCATTTTAATGAAATCAAAACAAAAGGCTATAAATTACTTTATATTACAAAACAAATCAAGAAATGTTATTTATTTATTTATTTATTTATTTATTTATTTATTTATTTATTTATTTATTTATTTATTTATTTATAAACATTTTAAACAAGCATTTACCAAATAAACACAGTAAATCCAAGTGGGTTTCAGTGGCTGTTGTGCTGCAGTGTTTCAGTTGTGTTTTTCTGGGTGTCTGGATGTTGCTGGTGCAAAAGATAAGCAACATATCAGTTTAAGCCTGCAGCCCCTCAATACATATGTATGAGGAGGCGGGGTCAGATAAAACACAGGGGCGGGGCCACTCATGCAGGAGCTTCAGTAAGTTTCCCGCAGATATAAAGCACAAATAGTGTGAAAATACATGAGTGCTGCTGTTCATGAGACTTGGTAAGTATTTCACTTCACTTTTTCAATTATTCACAGTGATTGTGAAACTCTGGTTAGTTTTGGAGTGTTGTTGTATTGTTGAAGTAGGGTGTTTAATACTCTACATATGTGTAAATATGTTTTTCTTTTATGCTTATGATGCTTGCACTTAAAGTACCTGTAAAGATGTTAGATTTCATCCCAAAGTCCAAACAAAATGCAGTTTATTTTTACATTGTTTTAATAACTTGGAAACATTTGTATGTTTGTAGGTCTTATGTAAGAATGAATTCATGAATATGCATTTATTGTAAATATTCATATGTTAACTGTGTAAATTGTTTTTGTCTTATTTCCTCTAAAGGGTCAAAAACTAAAAAATATCAAGCATAAAGAAAATTAAGCTTTTTTTATAGTTGTTTTTCTTTTTAGATTTAAACTAATGAAATAAATTAACAGTAAAATCTTTGTTCCGCTCTTTTAAAAAATTCTGTATAAATATGTCTTTTATAATATGCTTTACTTTATTTTTTAATTATGCATTGTAATTCTGACTATGAGTTCTGTATTTCTGATATATGTCATTACACACTTAAAAAATGCTGGGTTATGGACAAACCTGTGCATTAGGGTTAAAAAAATTTAAATTTAATTCAAAATATTAACCCAATGTTGGGTCAAAAATTAACAAACCCAACCATTCTGTTAAAAAATTTAATTTAAATTTAACTGAAAATAATGATCCAACAATGGCACAAAAATGGACAAACCCAACGACTGGGTTTTTAAAGTGTCATTTAAATTTGGTTGAAAATGTTAACCCAACTTTGCGTCAAATTCAAACTAACTCATCCATTGGGTTAAAAGTGTAATTTAAATTTAATTGCATTTTTTATCCAAATGTTGGGTCAAAAATGAACAAACCAGTGTGTTAAAACGTGTAATTTAAATTTAATTGAAAATAATAACCCTACATTGGCACAAAAATGCACAAACCCAACCATTGGGTTAATAATTTTTTTATTTAAATTAAATTAAAAATATTAATCCAATAATGTTAAAAATGGAAAAACCCAACCACTGAGTAAAAAAAAAGTGTTATTTAAATTTAATTAAAAATATAAACCAAACTTCATGTCAAAGATGGACAAACCCAACCGTTGGGTTAAAAGTGTTATTTAAATAAAATTTAAAATATTAATCCAACATTGGGTCAAAAATGGACAAACCAAACCATTGGGTTAAAATAAATAATTTAAATTGAATTTAAAATATTAACCCAACTTTGGGTTCAAATACAGACTACCCCATTTGTTGGGGGTAAAAGTGTCATTTAAATTATATTTGCAAATATTAAACAAACAATGGGTCAAAAGTGAACAAACCGAAGCATTGGGTTAAAAAAAGTGAAATTTAAATTTCATTGAAAATATTGACCCATGAGGCAAAAATGGACAAACACAACCATTGGGGTAAAAGCGCTACTAAAATTAAACCTAAAATATTAACCAAATCTCAGGTCAAATATGGACAAACCAAACCAGTGGGTTAAAAACATCATTTAAATTTCAGTTAAAACATTAACCAAATGTTGAGTCAAAAATGGACAAACCAACCATTGGGTTAAAAAGTGTTACTTAATTTTCATTTAAAACATTAATCCAACAATGGGTCAAAAATGGACAAACCAACTGTTGGGTTAAAAAAAGTGCAATTTAAATTTCATTTAAAATAATACCCCAAACAGTGGTGCAAAATATAGACAAACCCAACCAATGGGTAAAAAAGTCTCATTTAAATTCCATTAGAAATATTAACCCAGTGTTGGGTCAAATATGGACAAACCCAACATTGAGATAATATTTTTAATGCAATTTAAACTGAACATGCTGAAATTAGATGTGTTTTAGAGTATATGATCTGATGTTTCCTATAAGTTTATATATTTTTCACTAAACTCTTTTCACTTTTCTTGACAGTGTTTGTGATCTCTGTTTCTTGCAGGTGTCTGAAGAGTAAAAGCCAGCGTGTGTGTTGTGTTTTTGGCAGACATGGACCCTCAGGTGCCCAAAGACAAGTGAGTAGAAGATCAGCTGCAGCTTTATCTGTTTTCTGCTCTGACAGACCGATAACAAGAACTAGTGGCTTTTTTTCTGTGGCTTTCTCTCTGAAAACCAAGACAAAGTGCTGAATTGAAGTTTCCATCTGCTTACACAAATATGTTCTGTAAGGTTTTGCAAACGTTCCCTCTGAGTTATGAACATGTGAATATTGTCGAATCAGTCAAAACATTATTTATATGTTCTCACTTATGTAACCATATGACATGAGATTCACTCTGAATAATGCTGGATTATTACGACTGATTTAATTGGACTAATTTAGTTAATTAAATTGGCCAGCATAGGACCAAGTTTAACCCAATAATGTTTGGGTTAGTCCATATTTTACTCCATTTGACTTTAAATAAGCCAGAATTTCCTTGAGGTCTATATGATACTTATAATGCAATCATCATGTAAACGTGTCTTTTGTTCTTAGAGCATTCAGAAACAGGCAGTAACTTCTGATGAATGCAGCATTGATTTTACACAGCGGATGGCCTTCAAGCCACAACCCAATACTGGAAAACACCCATACACACTCATTCACCAACACACACACTCATACACTACAGCCAATTTAGTTCATCAATACTCCTATAGCGCTTGTGTTTGGACTGTGGGGTAAACAGGAGCTCCCGGATGGAACTCACGCCAACATTGGGAGAACATTCAAACTCCACACAAAAACGCAACTGACCCAGCCGGGACTCGAACCAGCGACATTCTTGCTGTGAGGCCACAGTTCTAACCACTAAGCCACCGTGCCGCACTGAATATTTTCTGATCATTAAATCACTGGTGCCACTAGAGGCTGTTCAGTGAACTGCAGCAGCTACACTAAGGGTGCTTCCACACCTGCCTTATTTAGTTCGATTGAATCGCACTAGAGTTCGTTTTCCTTTTTGGTGCGGTTCGTTTGGGCAGGTGTGAATGCAGCAATCGTACTCGAGTGCGCACCAAAAGCGGACCAAATAAGCGTACCAAGACCTGATTGAAGAGGTGGTCTTGGTACGCTTTCAAACGAACCGTGGAACAGTTTGTTTGTGGTGAGAATATGATCCGTACTAAAACAGGTCCAACCGCAAAAAATACTGCGCCTTTTGGACTAATTCAGCTGCCATAGGCCGATGCGCTGTGCATCATGGGATATGGAGGAAAATATTTGTTGACAGTGCTTTACCAACAGAGAGAGAGAGGAAAACATTAACTGATGGCTCGTTGGTAATATTTCCGCAAGATGAGCATGTCGCAGTTTAGCTAAATTAATTCACGTCTCCTCCTGAAGTGACTAGCAATGCATTAAACACTGTTTTCCAGCCGCAGCCGCGCTTCATTCTCGAAATGTACAGTTTGTCTAAAGCAGGAATACAATCAGTCAGTGCAGTCGTCCCTCCAGAGTAAAAACAAAATTTTTTTGTTTTGTTTACTTGCGGGAGTTCACTGGCATTTTCCCGCACGTGAATTCTGACCAATCAATAAGCAGTTTAGGAAATATGTTCAACATCTGGCCAATGAGAGATGTGGATTTTGTCACATGACTGCATTTTGGTTAGTTTCAACTGGTTCGGACCAAAGCCAGCAGTGTGGTGTGAAAACGACCCAAAGACGGCAGAAAATGCAACTATAGCCCCTTTTACACAGTGATACCGGTAAATATCCGGAAAATTTACGGAACGACTTTACCGGTATATTCAAAAAAGCGCTGTTCACACAGGAGAGGACGTTACGGAATTTTTCCGGAAAAGAGCATTCACACATCCACACACCAAATGCCGGAAAATTCTGACATCATTAACCAGAAATGACCTCTAAACGGCTGCGCTTGTGTTTGTAAACATTTGACTACATCACAAACTCTTCGGATGGATCAGTATTGAGTACAACTCCAATGAAAACATATAGAGGAACACTCTCGCATGTCGAGATGTTCATGATATGTGTGTGTGCTGGCGCTATGGGCGCTCACGGGCACACGCAAAGCTTGAAGGTAAACAAACAACGGATTATCATAAACATTTTATCGATAATTATTTACACAGCATTAAGAAGGAACATAGAAACATTATCTGACTAACATCTAGCAGCTAAAGGTGTCTGGAAAAATATTCAAAGGCTTTTATTCTCATAAACCGCGCGCACGTGAATGCGTCTGACTGTTCTGATTGGCTAAAGCAGGTGTCTCACGTCAGCACATTCTAGACGTGCACGCGCTTATTACGACAATCTTCCTTCTGTATTCACACAGCGCAGCATTCCGGCAAAATGCCGATAATAGCCCCTTTCACACAGTGATACCGGTAAATATCCGGAAAATTTACGGAACGACTTTACCGGTATATTCAAAAAAGCGCTGTTCACACAGGCGAGGACGTTACGGAATTTTTCCAGAAAAGAGCATTCACACATCCATTCCAAAATACCTGTAAATTCTGACATCATTCACCACAAATGAGCTTTAAACGGCTGCGCTTGTATTTGTAAACATTTGACTAAATTACAAACTCTGTGGATGATCAATATTGTGAACAACTTTCGCAGGATCACTTTCGCATGTCGAGATGTTCATAATATGTGCGTGTGCAGGCGCTCACAGGCTGTTTCATGGGCACACGCAAAGCTTGAAGGTAAACAAACAACGGCTTATCATAAGCATCTCATCGATGATTATTTACACAGTTGGCATCAAGAAGAACATATAAACGTAATCTGACTAACTTCTAGCAGGTAAATGTGTCTGGAAAAATATTCAAAGGCTTTTATTCTCATAAACCGCGCGGACGTAAATGCGTCTGACTGTTTTGAATGGCTAAAGCAGAAGTCTTACGTCAGCACGTTCTAGACGTGCACGCGCTTATTCCGGAAATATTCCTTCTGCGTTCATACAGCGCAGCATTCCGGCAAATTGCCGGTAATGTTACAACTTCTCTTTCCGGAAAATAGCCAGAACGAATTTACCGGTATTTTCAAAAAGGACCTGTTCACACATACAACCTAAGGTCTGTATGTGTGAAAGGGGCTAGTGTCTCATTTATTACCCTTGGTCCGGACCAAATGAAACTACAGATGTGAAAGCACCCTAAGAGTACACTCAAACACACATATATGGCATATATACATATTTAATTGTGTGTGACAATGGTTTAATTAAAGATATTTCGTTACAGTAAATAATTATTCCTGCATTATTGTAAACATTTAAACATTCGTTTAATCCAGTGCTCTTAAACTCAATTCCTGGAGGGCCGCAGCTCTGTATCCAACCAGCTCCAACTCACACCTGCTTAATAGTCTCTATAGTCTCGAACACCTTGATTAGTTTGATCAGCTGTGTTTGATTAGGGATGGAGCAAAACTGTGCAGAGCTGCGGCCCTCCAGGAATCCAGTTTGAGACCTATAGTTTAATATGTCAGAGAAAGCCTAGGAAATAGAATTTGACGTTTTTGTTTTGTTACGAACTGTTCCAACATTAGAGATAGAAAAGTGATGAAATGTTACATGTTGTAGATGCGTACAAACATTTGTTCATAACTTTAATCTGGCAGACATTCTCCCGTTATCTGGGTAAATGCGGTTGTGTAGCGGCATGTTCTAGTCAACATCAACTCTTTCTGAGAACCAGGACAGTGATGTGTTCATCTGATTGTGTTCAAAACACTCCACTTTTCCTCTGTCCGTCAGGTATAATGGCGTCTGGCTGATTTTCTTCATGCTGGGATTGGGAACGCTGCTTCCCTGGAATTTCTTCATGACCGCCACCATGGTAAAAAACACCTCATGAGCCGCATATATTTTTTGTTATTGTTGTTTTATTTTCATTATTTTGCGTGATAAACGACAGAGTCTCTCTTGTGCTGCCTACACCATACAAAAGTGTGCTTTGTTTTATCATTGTAGCACGTTTTTAAACCTTTCATTAAAATTTCATTAAAAACGTTCTTTAAAATTTAAAAACAGCCATGCATTATACTAACCGGCCACTTTATTAGGTACACCTGTACAACTGCTCGTTAACGCATATTTCTAATCAGCCAATCACATGGCAGCAACTCAATGCATTTAGGCATGTAGACAAGGTCAAGAGGATCTGCTGCAGTTCAAACTGAGCATCAGAATGGGGAAGAAAGGGGATTTAAGTGACTTTGAACATGGCAAGGTTGTTGCTGCCAGACGGGCTGGTCTTAGCGTTTCAGGAACTGCTGATCTACTGGGATTTTCACGCACAACCATCTCTAGGGTGTAAAGAGAATGGTCTGAAAAAGACGAAATATCCAGTGAGTGGCAGTTCTGTGAGCGCAAATGCCTTGTTGATGCCAGAGGTCAGAGGAGAATGGCCAGACTGGTTCCAGCTGATAGAAAGGCAACAGTAACTCAAATAAGCACTCGTTACAACCGAGCTCTGCAGAAGAGCATCTCTGAACACACAACACGTCCAACCTTGAGGCGGATGGGCTACAGCAGCAGAAGAGCACACCGGGTGCCGCTCCTGTCAGCTCAGAACAGGAAACTGAGGCTACAATTCACACAGCCTCACCAAAACTGGACAATAGAAGATTGGAGAAACGTTGCCTGCTCTGATGAGTCTCCATTTCTGCTGACACATTCGGATGGTCGGGTCAGAATTAGGCATCAACAGCATGAAAACATGGATCCATCCTGCCTTGTATCAGCGGTTCAGGCTGGTGGTGGTGGTGTAATGGTGTGGGGGAGATTTTCTTGGCACACTTTGGGTCCATTAGTACCAACTGAGCATCATGTCAACGCCACAGCCTACCTGAGTATTGTTGCTGACCATGTCCATCCCTTTATGACCACAGTGTCTCCATCTTCTGATGGCTACTTCCAGCAGGATAGCATGCCATGTAAGGTGTACCTAATAATGTGGCCAGTGAGGGTATGTGTATATATATATATTATATATATATATATATATATATATATATATATATATATATATATATATATATATATATATATATATATATATATATATATATATATATAAATGTTTATTGAATTATGTATTAATAAATGAATATAATATATTATATTTATATAAAATCAAATATATTTTTTAGATTAAGAATGAAAATAAAATAATAATAATAACATTACTAATTTATCATTTATTTATTTATTTTGGGTACTGGTGGGTGGGGTGTCAGAATAAAAAAAGGTTTCAATTTTATGTTGTTATTTATGTCATTGTAAATTTCACAAAATATGTAGTTGCCTTTATGCACAAACTGCATTTATTGTGCCTTGAGTAAATGTAAATGGATTTGTGAATGATCTGATAAATGTGCTGGAAACCAACACAAACACAGAGGATGTAGATCATCATTATTGTATGTGTATGTTTTATCCGTCAGTACTTCACCAGTCGTCTTGCAGACCCTTTAACCGCAATGAACAATGCATCAATGAACAGCACAGAAGAAGACTCTCGCAGCGTCCTACAGGCCAAGTTTAATAATGTGATGACTCTGTGTGCGATGGTTCCTCTGCTGGTCTTTACCTGCCTCAACTCTATCCTTCACCAGAGGTCAGAATCAATCATACATTCATTTTCCTTCGGCTTAGTCCCTTATTCATCAGGGGTCGCCACAGCAGAATGAACCGCCAAATATTCCAGCATATGTTTTACGCAGCGGATGCCCTTCCAGCTGCAACCCAGTAGTGGGAAACACCCATACACTCTCACATTATTGTCACATGCGCTATAGGTGAACTAAATTGGCCGTAGTGTATGAGTGTGTGTGTAAATAGGTGTTTCCCAGTACTGGGATGCAGCTGAAAGGTCATCTGCTGTGCAAAACATGCTGGAATAGTTGGCGGTTCATTCCGCTGTGGCAACCCCTGATGAATAAAGGGACTATGCCGAAGGAAAATGAATGAATGAATGTGTTTCTGTTTATTTCTATTGACACACTGTGTTTACTTACCGCATTGTGTCTTTATTTTCATAGAATTTAAACCAACAAATTCTTTAAAGTAAATCAATAAAACCTAAAAATACAAAATGTTATGTATAAAATCATATTTGAATGATTTATTTTTTGATTTGGTGTTGAATTCTTAAATATGTGATTTAAATCTGCAGGATTCCTCAGAAGATCCGCATCGCAGGCAGCCTGACGCTGATCCTGCTGGTGTTTTTACTGACGGCCATCTTGGTGAAAATACATTTAGAGCCGCTGCCGTTCTTCATTGTCACCATGGTTAAAATCATCTTCATTAACTGTAAGCTTCTGACCACTGTATTCAGCTTAAAGGCTTAACATGGTTAAATAGACAAGATATAGTAATTAGGCAAGTCACTCTCCTGTGAATTTATTTTCCTTTTTTAAATATTTCCCAAATGATGTTGAACAGATTCAGGAAATTTTCACAGTATATCCTATAATATTTTTTCCTCTGGAGAAAGTCTGATTTGTTTTATTTCGACTAGAATAAAAGCAGCTTTTAATTGTTTTAAATTATTTTAAGGGCAGGGTTATTAGCCCTAGTTTCTGTGCTTGATGATCGGGTTGTCCTGGTCCTAACCTTTGACCACAATGCACCGGCCTCTTATGGGCTTGCAGGAGAATGGTCCCATGTCGCTTCTTTCGGCTGACCCGGCCGGGTTCCATAGGATTAAGCCACCAGTTGCTCGCATTCGAGCCCCAACATCATGCCTGGCTCCAGGGTGGGGCCCCATCTGCACATTACCAGGTGAAGTTACAGTCCTCACCATTTTTGAACTGCACTTACTCTGACGTGTCACCCAAGACCTTTTTGCCTTGGGAGACCTTACCAGGGTATTAGCCCCCAACAATATAGCTCTTAGGATCACGCTTAAGGGTTTATGGGACCCAACCAGTCCACATGTGTTTTGTGGACTTGGAGAAGACATTCAACCGTGCCCCTCATGACATTCTGTGGAGGGTGCAATGGGAGTATGGGGTCGAGGCGCTCTGTTAAGGGTATGAACAGAGCAGGAGTTTGGTTCGCATTGCCGGCAATAAGTCAGACTTGTTCCCAGTGCATGTTGGACTGCCCTTTGTCCCCAATTCTGTTCATAATTTATATGGACAGAATTTCTATGCACAGCTTTGGGCCAGAGGGGGTCCAGTTTGGGGACCTCAGGATTTCATTCCAACCACGTTGGCTTCATCGAACATGGACTTTCAGCATGCACTGGGGTGGTTTGCCATCAAGTGTGATGCAGCCGGGATGAGAATCAGCACCTCCAAGTCCAAAGCCATGGTGTTCCACTGGAAAAAGGTGGTTTGTTATCTACAGGTTGGAGGAAATCCTCACCCCAGGTGGAGTTCTTGGGGTTTTGTTCACAAGTGAGGAAAAGATGTAGCGTGAGATTGACAGGCGGATTGGTGCAGCGGCAGCAGTAATGCGAAAGGCAAAGCTCTCGATTTACCAGTCAATCTACGTTCCTATTCTCACCTATGCTCCTGAGCTTTGGGTCATGACTGAAAGGACAAGATCTCAGATACAAGCGGCCGAATTGAGTTTCTTCGCAGGGTGGCAGGGCGCACCTTATAGAAAGGGGGAAGAGCTCTGTCACCTGGAAGGAGCTCAGAGTAGAGCCGCTGCTCCTTCACATCGAGAGAAGTCAGCTGAGGTGGCTCGGGCATCTGTTTCCAATGCCTCCTGGACGCCTACCTAGGGAGGTGTTCCAGGCATGTCCCACCGGGAGGAGGCCTCATGGAAGACCCAGGACACTCTGGAGGGACTATGTCTCTCGGCTGGCCTGGGAATGCCACAGGATCCCCCAAAGGAACGGAGGAACTGGAGGAAGTGTCAGGGGAGAAGGAGGTCTGAGGTTCTCTTCTTCTGCTGCCCTTGTGACCCAGATCTGGAAAACCGGAAGAAAATGAATAAATGAATTGTTAGCCCCCTTAGGCAATTTTTGTCTACAGAACAAACCACTGTTATACAATGACTTGCCTAATTACTTTACCCTAATTAACCTTGTTAAGCCTTTAAATGTCACTTTAAGCTGAATACTAGTACCTCAAAGAAAATCTAGTCAAATATTATGTGCTGTCATCATGACAAAGAGAAAATAAATCAGTTATTAGAGATGAGTTATTAAAACTGTTATGATTAGAAATGTGTTTAAAAAAATCTTCTCTCTGTTAAACAGAAATTGAGGAAACATATTAACTAATAATAATTCAGAAGGATTAATCATCATACAGACTTTAACTGTATATTATGTCAAAACAAACTTTTATTTTAGATTATGATTAATCAAGACTAATCTTTGCCCAGTACTAGTTTTAACAGAAGCAGGATGTGTTTTCCATTGTTATATATGATGTGTGTGTGTGTTAATGTGTGTTTGTGTGTGTTTCCCAGCATTCGGAGCGGTTCTTCAGGGGAGTCTGTTTGGTATGGCTGGTCTTTTACCGGCTTCATACACGACACCCATCATGAGCGGACAGGGACTTGCTGGAACATTCGCTGCTTTCTCCATGATCTGCGCCATCGCCAGTGAGTCTGAAATACAGCACAAACACAACACAGACATGCTACATTACAAGTACATTACATGCAATCCTGTTAGGACGTTAGCTGGCTGATATATATACAACTACATGAAAGCATGAAATCTGAGAGATCCCAAAATAATCTAAATATTGAGGAATATCAGTTTTATAAAATCATATACAACAGTTTAACGGCAAAAACGTGTATATAAAAAAAGAAAATTAAACATGGAGAGTCTTAAACCCTTTTGTATGAGGAACTACTTTCTTTTGAAATTCATTCACATCTGCAGCTGACATCAGAACAGCAGAAGCCGTTACTTATTTACTAATCTAATCTCTAAAGTCAAGACAAAACAGCTGATTTGGCTCACATTTTAAGATTATAAGGCTGAACGTGACATGAAATGCCATCAGTCTACAGAGATTTCACCCTACAGTCTATTACAGTCTACAGTATTTCTCTGTTGCCGTCGGTATTGTGACGGGTGCCAGGTGTCCCAGCGTTTACCCGGACACTTTATGGTATAAAAAGGAGGCAGAAACTATTTCACTCTTCATATTGGCCTTTATGCATTTCTCCTAAGTGCTGTCGACTACATACAAGCCAGTCAACGACAAAGAGTAGGAAAAAGGATTAAAAAAAAAGAAACTCAAACATCCGTCGCAAAACAAAATGTTACATTATTGAAATGAACTGAGCTCCCATACATGCGTGCTTACATCTCAAAGGTAAAACAACCACAGGAATAGTCCTCTTAAAGTCGACATTTATACACAATGCATATCAAACATTAAGCGGCCGTTAAAATATCACAATAAGAAACCTTATAAAACTACCAGACTGCTGTTGTGTTTGCGATAAGGAGGAACGAGGGTGAATCCAGATTCTTAATCGCAGCTTCTTATTGACTATCCGGTCCACCTTAAAAACCTTGACGCTTCCGTTTTTCAGCTTCTTATTCGCGCTCAAGAGAACACACAACAGTTTTAATCTAAGCAAGGGCTTATTATGCGGTCCTGGCGTCATCTTGTGGATAGACAACGTCAAACGTCTTTGGTCTACTACACTAAGGCAGGCTAATGACCGCCGATGAGCTCTCTCAGAAATTGTAAATATTTAAAATAGGCACTATTATTACAAATGAACTGCCTAGTTGCAATCTAAACAACTACTTTCTTGACTAAAAAAGCCTCAAAAGTACATTTTGTTGTCTAACAGCAAGAATATTCGTCAAACTGTGGCGTCTCTGCTTGTTGCTGGCTGTAAGTGGGCGGAGTAATACACAGAGGGAAGGGTGAAGAGGCCTTTGATGTTAAGGCAAAATATCGCATGGCTATCAGCCAATCAGATTCAAGAACCAGGCATAACTGTTGTCTGTCTGTGTGTGTGTGTGTGTGTATATATATATATATCAATCTTGAATTACGTTTTCTGCAATATTTTCAGCAATATTCCAGTTTTGTGTTTAAGTCCATTTTGCTAATGCTGTCAATTTAGAATGTGAATAAATGATGAATGTTCATTTTTGGGTGATCTGTCCCTTTATAGATTGAATATTTGCTATTATGATGGACTGTAATGTGTTGTTGTCTCTTTCAGGTGGTTCTGAGTTACATGACAGTGCGTTTGGATATTTCATCACAGCGTGTGCTGTTATTTCCCTCGCCATCGCTTCATATGTTGTCCTTCCCAAACTGGTGAGATCTTCAGATCTGGAAAAGACTGAATGTGTTTGATTTCAAGCTTGATTTAAAGCTGTTTGCATCCTGCAGGAGTTTTATCAGCACTACCAGGAGAGTCGGCAGAATAAACCAGCCGAGGATGAAGAGAATAAGATGGATCTGTTAAAGAAAGGTAATGTTACGTACAGTAATTCACATACAGTACATTATTTGCATCAGATGTAGGCTTATAACGGTGTCAGATTTCTTGTTGTGATTAATTGCTGAAGCTTTTATCATGATTAACTATTCTGTGTTGTCACGATATTGACCTAAGCTGCAAAAAAGATATATGCATTGCTAAGCACTTCATTTGCACTATTTTAAAGCCAAAACTTCAACATTATACAGTACTATGTTTTAAATAAAATCTCATCATTAAATGTTAGTTAAATGATTAAAATCAACAGTGAGAAAAGGACAGATTTATTACAGGTTCTACGTTGAAATTAGTTTAAAAAATATAATTCTAAACTCTACCCACATAGCAACATTTCTTTGGCCCAGATCTGGCCCACTCAATCAGTTTTTGCTTGGCCCACATGCCGCAGTGAGTTACGGTACATGACTGGACCAAGTCTGGCTTCCATACAGGGGCCAAACATGGGCCATATCTGGGCTAAGTCTCAGCCAAGTTAACAATCCATTACTGAGCCTGAACTGGGCCAAATATGTTGGTGGTTCATGACTGCAATGAATTTGATAAACCCATGACCCATTTCGCTTTAGGCATACTTTTTCTCAAAGTGACCTGACTGGTAGAATTGTTTTTTTTTAACTCAAAAATAATTCAAATGTATTTTAAAAGTGGGTCCCCACATCACAAACGGACTTGGCCCAAATGTGGCCTCATTATACTGTAGCACTGAAGGTGTGTTGCCAGCACTGGCATGCATAATGTCAGCTGAATGTGGGCCATGCATGGCAATGATGGCACTGCATGCATGACGGCAAACTAGATTTGGGCCAGTTGTGGATGGGCCACATGGCCCACATATCCATTGTTAGCATCTGGGCCAAATACTACATTTGATATCTGGCCCAAGTATTGTGTGTCGCCTTAAATACAGTACCACCTCTGCCAAATCCGGGTCATGTTTGGCCCACATGCTGTATGCCAGTGCCAGACGAATGCCTGCTGTGCCAGATTTATGCCAAATCTGGGTCAGAATTCTTTGCTTCCTGGGTTATAGTTGAGAATGGGTACCAATAATAAACCTGTTTTGGCCCAGTTCAGGGCCAGTTAAGGGTGATAAACTGCCTGAGATTCAGGCCGGTTATGGCCCATGTGTGGCCATTGTCTTTAATCCAGTTATGGGCCACTTCAGGACCGTCATTCTTTATGGTACTTGGGAAAAGGGAAAACCTTTTGTTTGGCCCAGAGCTGGGCCCGAAAACGTTTGCTATGTGGGTCATGGTACACCAAACTTACATGACCCACGTTTAAATTTTTAACATCCGGTCCAAATACTATATTTGATATCTGGCCCAAGTCTTGTGTGCCGTCTTAAGACAGTGCCACCTCTGCCAAACCAGGGCCATGTTTGGCCCACATGCTGTATGCCAGTGCTGGACGAACACCTACTGTGCCAGCTTTATGCCAAATCTGGGCCAGAGTTCTTTGCTAACTCTGCATTTAATAATCATGAGTAATCAGATTACATTTATGATTTATAGTGTTATTAGACCAAGAAATTAACACTAGCTGAGATTAATTAAAGCTTTTGTTGTTGCTTATGTGTGAGTTTAGTTAAATGAACGAATGCTAACTTTCGAAACCTTGGTACACAGTGCTAATTTACAACAACTTTGGCCTGTGATAACCTTTGATTTGGCCCACCATCCAGTCCGAGAAGAGACTGATGAGACGGTTGGGGCTAATGCCTTTAACTGAGATCCTCATTTCTAATATAACATAGCTTTTTTTGATTGTTTTAATGCTGAGCTACAAAAAAAAGCTAAATAAAATTAAATGTTTCAATTAAACGTTGTAAATTAATCAGATTTTCAAAAATACTGTAAATACTACCAATCTATGGACAGAAAACAATGCTGAAGACATCAGCGAGACATCAAATCAAGGCAAAAACAGCTTGACTTGTGCATTCGCAATTGAACTCCACTCTGTTATAAATGTTTTGGTTTTTACTGTTATAAATATTTAACAAAAATACTGCATTAGTTAATATAAAGCAAGGATTTATAATTATTTTAACATATTATTAATTACCCATGGCAACTTTGATGTAGGCGACGCAGTGGCGCAGTAGATAGTGCTGCCGTCTCACAGCAAGAAGGTTGTTGGGTCGCAGGTTAGAGCCTCGGCTGGGTCAGTTGGCATTTCTGTGTGGAGTTTGCATGTTCTCCCTGTGTTTGCGTGGGTTTCCTCCGGCTGCTCTGTTTTCCCCCACAGTCCAAAGACATGCGGTACAGGTGAATTGGGTAGGCTAAATTGTCCGTAGTGTGTGAGTGTGTGTGAATGTTTCCCAGAGATGGGTTGCGGCTGAATTCATTCATTTTCTTGTTGGCTTAGTCTCTTAATTAATCCGAGGTCGCCACAGCGGAATGAACCGCCAACTTATCCAGCACATTTTTTTAACGCAGCTAGAAGGGCATCCGCTGCGCAAAAAATGTGCTGGATAAGTTGGTGGTTCATTCCGCTGTGGCGACCCCGGATCATTAAATGGACTAAGCTGACAAGAACTTTTATATAATACACACTCTCAGAAATAAAGGTTCGGATGCTGTCACTGGGGCAGTACCTTTTTAAAGTATTCATATTTGTACTCAAATAGTCCACAGTGGTACCTGAAAGGTGCATATTAGTACCTAAATGTACCTAAAAAGTACCTTTGAGGTACCATTATGGACCTTTCAGGTACAAATATGTACCTTTTGAAAAGATATACCGCCCCAGTGACAGCTCCAGCACCTTTATTTCTGAGAGTGCAGCTTGATTTACCTTTGGTATGCACACAGCCCTCAATCACAGTTGCTTTTTGGCCCTTTATAAGGAAAAGTTTGGGCACCCCTGAAATAGTCACAGAATTTTCCATCAATATTTAAGCATGGATGAACTGAAAATGTTCATGTTTGAGCTATTAAGCTGAACAATAAAGCCTTCAACTTTAAATGCAATCTGATAATTTCAACAAAAAAAAGCACTCAATAAAAGATAGCTATTGGCTGTTTTTTGAAGTGTCCATGATATCAATATTGTGCATGTTCATTATCACGATATATTGAATTATTAAATATCAGCATTTGATAATGTGTGTAAATGTTAATCTGAATGTGTTTCTGTAGATCAGAGACTGCAGAGCGCTGGAGACGATGACAAAAAGTCACCATCCATACTGGCCATCTTTAAGAAGGTACAGATCATACAGATGATAAAATGCATAGATTTATGAAGAAACCTTATTGCATTAACATTATTAAAGCAGAGGCTGAAAGTTAATTCGATAACACTTTCCAATAAGGTGGAATTAATTAACGCATTTACTCACATGAACAAACAGTCAACAATACATTTATTGCAGTACTTGTTCATGTTAGTCAACATTAGTTCGTGAAAATACAGTTGTTCAATGTTCATTCATGATAACAGATTAACTAATTGCATTGACCAATGTTAACCTGGCTGTTAAAAATGCATTAGTAAATGATGAACTACTGTATGATTAATGAATGCTGGACAAGTACTGTTCATAATTAGTTCAAGTTAGTAGATGCATTAACTAATGAAACCTTATTATAAAGTGTGACCTTTAATTTTTAGCTTTAATAATGTTCTTAAAAGGGTATCATGAGAAACATTTGCACATTGTAAAACAGGAAAGTGAAATTAATGAACTGAAATGTGTTTATTTTACTCAAATATGTGACCCTGGAGCACAAAACCAGTCTAAAGTTAGATTATTAAGTATATTTTGGGGCAAATACTGTACATATGATGTAAGGGTCAATGTTAATGACTTTTCTTTTATGCCAAAAAAACATTAGGATATTGGTATTTGTTAATTTCCTACTTTAAATATATCAAAACATAACTTTTGATTAGTCATATGCATTGCTAAGCACTTCATTTGAACAATTGGAAAGCCAGTATTTTAATATTTAGATAGTTTTGAACCCTCAGATTGCAGATTTCTAAATAGTTATGTTGACTATGTTATATTTTTAACATTTAAAATTAAAATATTGTCCTATTGTAAAGCATATTCATTCAGAAAATGCATTCAATTCAATTCAATACAAGTTCATTTGCATAGTGCTTTTTACAATAATTATGGTTTCAAAGCAGATTTAAAAAGGTGCCCATTATTGCATTACTATCAAATTAAGTTAAAGTTACAATAAAGTTAAAAGTTATAATATACAGACATAGTTAACCTGCTGTTTGATAGCATATCGTCTATGTACATGTTTAATGAAGTGTTCTTGAAATGGACATTTATGACTGGCTTTGTGGTCCGGGGTCACATATTTCAACAGTTTGCTGTATGTTATTAAACACAAGTTTAAAAACAAGTTTAAAAACAACTCAAAAATGTATTGCATTAACCTGAAATTAAATTGAATGAGTATGACCTGATTTCCAAATCCCAGCATGCACTGCATCAGACAGTATAAGGAAATTGAGCATTGAAATGTGAAGTGTTGTTCTGTGTGTTTTTGCACAGGATTAACAGCGAGAGACTTAAATGAGTCTTTCATGTTGTGCTGTGTGTTTCTGTAATGTTGAAATGTTTACTGTTAGCATTGAAGGGAACGGTGGAGAGACTGTGGTTTGGTTGAGAAAGAGCTGAAGAAACAATTTAAGTTTATAATCAGGGTTGCCAAGTCTGGCTCTTTCCCGCAGATTTGGGCTACTTTTAATGACTTGCCTCGGGTTGTTTTTACAGTTTTTCTCAGTTGCTTTGTTGCATTTCTCACAACACCAGTCTATTTCTGCACAACAGTTAATGCATTTAATGCTCAAAACAAAACTCAAAATGGAGAGCTCATTCCTCAAAAGCAAGTACTGATGTCAATCAAAGTGTCAGTGTCCTCAAGATAAAAAGTCCTGACACAATTGTTTATGAACAAGATAGTCAAATGGCTCTGTCATGTTTTCATTATGACACTTTACTCTGTAATTTTTTCCAATGCTAAAAAGTCAGATTTTGGTAACACTTGCTGAAAATGCTCAAGACAGCACTATATACTATTTGCACAGCCAATTGAAAACTACAGTAAAGTTGGACATCACTGCATTTAGTGAGGTATCTGAGTACAACCCTCTGAATATGTATGTTTCACATTTTTACTCTACATTTGCTCTTTACAATCCTAATTTATTCACAGCATTGTGCAAAAGAATAAACACACCCTTATTTAAAACAAACAGAAACTCGCTTTGGGTTGAACTGTGCACAACTGTGCACAACACACACAGGTCTGTAAATCATTCATCAAATTGTTAAATTTCAAAGACATATTCAGGAAAATGAAGATGTAATTTTTTAAATATAAAGTTTGCTTGACCGATTTTGACATCAAGTTCAACATTTTTGTATGTAATGACTCAAGTAATGAAATGAGGACTACTCAGCATTTCCAAGTTTAGTTCTTTTTGACTGACATGACATAAGCAGATGATAATGTTATAAATAATTGTACTAATTGTTTTGAGAAATGCATGACCTGTTGTGCAAATGTAAATAGTGTAGTGAGAAATGCACCAAAGCGACAGAAAAACTGTCAATTAAATCTCACGGATTAAAGGTTTGACATCCGAAAAATTATATATATATACACACACATATATATGTGTGTGTGTGTGTGTATGTGTATATACATGTGTGTGTGTGTGTGTGTGTGTATATGTATATATATATATATATATATATATATATATATATATATATATATATATATATATATATATATATATATATATATATATATTATAGGTGGGCATAGGTGTTTTTTATCTAGATTAATCTTACTGTAATTTTGGAATTAATCTAGATTAAAATGGCTGGCAGGAAACTCTTACATGAAAGCACTTTACGTAAACACCTTAACTACAATAATGTCTATTAAGGTAAATAACTAGACTACAGATGTCTATGTAAGCGTAGTCAGCAGTGTTTTCGAAGTAAGTTAAAGATCCAGAAGCGCATGCTGCTGGTTTGATTCAGAAGGGCACTGTTTTTGTCAGACGGCTCACCGGTTTGACTTTCATTCACCGTCATTCATTTTAAAAAGCACCCGCTCCATTTCGTTGTATATGTTTTACTGGAGCGCATAAACTCTACAGGTGCCTCATATAAAGATATAGAGCTAACATTAATCAGATTCACTCTAGTGAACTGCATCCATGTTAGCACGTCACGTTTGATCTGGTAATTTCACCGTAGGAATGCTCACAGGTTCGAAGACTCGTTCTCGCCCCCTACAGTGCAATTCAGCCAGGTATACATCCGCATTAAAATATCAAGGTGAAAGTCATCATAGTTTGCGTAGAACAGACCCAGCTCCCAACCCAACTTTGAGAATAAATCAGCAGCCATATTTATTTTAATGCCTGATAAGAGTCTCGTGTTAACGCAGATAACCACCCACCACTAATATAGACAGTATCTATATATACAGCCAGATCCATAAATATTGGAACATCGACCCAATTCTAGCATTTTTGGCTCTATACATGGATTTGAAATGAAACAAGATGTACTTTAACTGTAGAATGTCAGCTTTAATTTGAGGGTATTCACATCCAAATCAGGGGAACGCTGTAGGAATTACAACAGTTTGCATATTTGCCTCCCACTTGTTAAGGGACCAAATGTAATGGCACTATTGGCTTCTCAGCTGTTCCATGGCCTGGTGTGTGTTATTCCCTTATTATCCCAATTACAATGAGCAAATAAAAATGGTGCAGAGTTTATTCCTAGAGTGCTGGGATCAACACTTGAATCAATCATTTGCATCTGTGGATTTTCCTAATGAATGTATATGCACCTTTGTGTGTTTAGATCTGGGTTATGGCTCTGTCTGTGTGTTTTGCCTTCACCATCACTATTGGTACGTTTCCTGCGGTCACTGTGGACGTCAAATCTACCATTGCTGATGGTGGAGCGTGGGGTGAGTTCAGTCTTAGACCTTTTCAGTATTGAGTCTCCTCTCCACCAATCAGCTGGTGTGTGGTGTGCGGTCTGGCGTGGTGGATGCTGCACACTGGTGGTGGATGAGGAGATTATCTCCATTGTGTAAAGCGCTTTGAGTGCCCAATAATAGCGCTATATAAATGTAAGGAATTAATATTATTATTTTCATTCACAGTCTGATACTGTGTCACAAATAAAATGATAAATGTGAACTTCAATTTCACAAAATCTTATTATTCTTCTAGGTATTTACATCGAGGAAAATTCTGGTGTTTGCATAGACGGTTGCTGTATTCTTTGTTAACCTCAGTTTTCTCACATTTGATCAGATTTTTTTTCTCTTGTATATCGAAAATGTTTTTTTTTTCCTTCACAATTTTTAATTCCTAGCGCATGAATCACTTTTCTATAGTCGCATTAAAAATAAATAATTGTGAGGTAAACTGAAATTCAGAAAAACGTTGGAATTAAGCAAATATAAACTGTAAATATGATATAAAATAAATACAAATTTGAATTAAAGAGCAGTATATGATTAATAATTAAAAGACAAAAGCCAGAATTGTGAGATATAGATAGTGTAGCGAGGCAGAGGGAAAACAAACACAATGGTGGTGAGTTACAAACAATTCCCCGGAGGGTGATTTATTTATACAGTGAACAAGACGAATACGGTGCTCTTCAGGGATAGGTGCTCTGGTGCTCCAGGGTTAAGGTGAGGTTGAGGCCGTACTCACACTAGGTACAGTTGACTCGAACCAGGCCAAAGCACGCTTGTCCCTCCTGCAGTCAAATATTTCGCCAAACAGTCCTTAGGGATGCGGGGACACGCAGTCCGATATTTCGGCAAACAGATCCGCCACTTTTGGCGCTCATAAACAATCATAAAGCCCTCGTGCTGCAGGAATGAGGAGGTCTGATGAAGGTGCAGCTGTCTGCAGTGAGGGGTTTGCGTCTTTAATAAACTACGGCAGTTTGCGTTCACTGAACAGTAAGAATGATTAATAAATCCATATGAAACAGCCCCTTAAAAGTCACGTCTTGCTTTCAGTTTTGGGCTTTGGCGCCAAAGCCCAAGTGAACCGCGCTCAGGCACACCTCTTCCAACCGGGCCAGGGCCGGCCAAGTGAACCGTGCTTGAGCCCGATTCAGCGCACTCACACTTCTCAAATGATCCGGGAAACGGGCCTGGGCACGGTACGGATGGCATAGTGTGAGTAGACCCTGAGTGAGGGTTCGGGTGTTGGATCAATCAGCTGCTGGAGTCTGCTGTAGGGGAGACAGAGAGACATGTGTTAGCGCAGGGAGTCATCTAGATAAATGAAGCTCGTCCTCCTTGTGTGTGGGGCTGGCTTTTATGTGTCTCCTCTGATGCGCTCCAGCTGTGAGCGATCCGGTGCTGATGAGGTGCCAGCTGGGGTGAATCCTAGACCAGAGCGACGTGGCATCGGTATACTCGCTACAATAGAAAATTACAAAACAAAAGTCTAGTCATTCACTCATTTTCTTGTCGGCTTAGTCCCTTTATTAATCCGGGGTCGCCACAGCGGAATGAACCGCCAACTTATCCAGCACGTTTTTACGCAGCAGATGCCCTTCCAGCCGCAACCCATCTCCGGAAACAAAAGTTTAGTTTGTGAGAAAAAAAAAAATAGCAGATTTTTTTGTGACTTTTTATGTTACAAATCTGCCTTTGTATGTTTGTTTACAACTCAGAATTAAATACATTTGTCCAAAAAAAAAATGTTTTTTTTAATTAGGAAATACAAGAAGGTAATTCAGATTAATGTGATGTAAACATAATTACAAGGAAAAATTGGGAATAATAAGACAGTATTATGCAAAACAAATGATCAAAATAATCAGAATGGTGAGAGATAGTCTCAGAATTACAAAGTAAAGCATGAAAATATGTGATAAAAGTCTTTTGTTATGTAATTGTGACTCTAAAGAGTCGTTTACAAACTATAAAGTTCATGATAATATTATATTTTGAATCGTTCAGTATGAAGTCCAGTTTTTCTGCTTATTTGTCTTAAAATCCACACAAAGTCTGAGTGAAGATTATTTGTAAACTAATTTGGAGAGGATCATGTGCATATGATTGAGCACTGCCGATTTATGATGGACCAATCAGATGATTCCTAACCCACTATAAATATCATAAGTTCCAAATCACAGCCATCTTCATTTTGAACAATCCCCCCTTCCACCTCAACTCCTCCTCCTTTCCTAGATGGGCGGCCCAGTGGTTAGCACTGTTGCCTCACAGCATGAACGTCACTGGTTCTAGTCCTTACCAAGCCAGCTGACATTTCTGTGTGGAGTTTACACGTTCTCCCTGTGCTCATGTGGGTTTGCCCCAGGTTCCTCCCACCATCCAAAAACATGCAACTTAGTTAACTGACTAATCCAAATCGGCACCATAGACATGCTCCTAGTAAGTTGTTATCTTAACAATCCCTTTTGTTCATGAGCTACTACAGCAGGGGAGTTCTCCAAATCTATTTGGCTTCAAACTCCCCTCTCACCTTGCAAACGGGAGGGAGCCCTGGGCTCGAGGATCTTATGAGCTCAGGGCTCTCTCCCGGGACAGCATGCCAAACAAGCTTTATAATCAATCATCAGCTAAATGTCAACTCTTGAATTTGTCTTTCTCCAGAGAAGTATTTCATCCCAGTGTCTTGTTTCCTGTTCTTCAATGTGTTTGACTGGGCTGGACGCAGTCTGACCGCAGTGTGTATGTGGGTAAGAAACAATTTTCATGCTAAAACCACATTTAAAATTAGCCAAACATCAGATCAGCTGCAGCAAATTCTGCAGGATCTTTGCATTTTAGGCTTTGATTGTGCCATTGTGGTGACTGAGCTTCTTTCAAAAGAGGGTGGAGCTACAAACCCTACGTGTCATCATAGCAGCAGTTTGAAATCGCTGATGACTAATTTTCACCTAGCATAGATATTTACGTTAGACGTCGCCTACGCTATTGTTGTCTATTGGAAATAATGCATCAGTAGAACCGCTGTTTTAGTACAGGGTAGCGAAATGAATGTGGAACCAAGGTGCAGTGGAAGACTGGCTATCCAGAGCCAGAGATATGGAAACATTTATACATACAGTTGAATTCAGAATTATTAGCCCCCCTGTTTATTTTTTTTATAACTGATTTATTTTATCTTTGTCATGATGACAGTAAATAATATTTTACTTGATATTTTTCAAGACACTTCTAAACAGCTTAAAGAGACATTTAAAGGCTTCACTAGGTTAATTAGGGTAACTAGGCAGGTTAGGGTAATTAGGCAAGTTATTGTATAGCGATGGTTTGTTCTGTAGACTATCGAAAAAAAAAGCTTAAAGGGGCTAATAATATTGTCCCAAAATTGTTTTTTTTAAAAATTAAAAACTGCTTTTATTCTAGCCGAAATAAAACAAGTAAGACTTTCTCCAGAAGAAAAAATATTATCAGACATACTGTGAAAATGTCCTTGCTCTGTTAAACATAATCTGGGAAATATTTAAAAAAGAAAAAAAAAATTAAAAGGAGGCTAATAATTCTGACTTCAACTGTATATGTGCCATCAGGAGTTCCTAATGCAAATATTTTCTTAAATTACGAAACTTATACATCAATGGATGAGTGACCGCATGGACGTTGCTGACAGTGGGCCCTAATGTACACCCAGTGCAATGCGGCGCTTGGCGTGATGCAATTGTTGTTTGCTAGTTTCAGCTCAGCGCAAGAGTGGTTTTGTCGTTTTGCAGCATGCTGTTCAAATAGCAGATGCATTTGCGCTTATATGTGCACCCATAAGTGTTCTGGTCTATAAAGGAGGCGTGTTGAGGCGCATTGCTGGCGCGTTGCTATTTTGAGAAACTATAATCATTTGCTCAAAAAAAAAAAACTAATAAAAAAAAAAGAGAAATAGTTTCATTTTAGACACAGTATTGCTGACTCGCCACAGCCATGGCTCTAATGTTACATTTTGAATGTAGGTAAATCTTTTGTATATAACATTTGCAATTAATCAAGTAGGGTGGACAGTATGCACATTGAGGCGCAGGCACTGTTATGTTATCAGGCACTCTTAGCCAGTTAAACTCGGTACCGGGTCTGTGACGTCAACGACTTTCACTTTAAGATTTAAAGGGCTAGCATTGCACCAGACCCCGTAAGGGGTTTCATTTGAAAGTGTAGAATCTTTATTGTATGCACATTTGCATCACTTTGGTTTTTATTCTACTGTACAGAAGTTATTTACACTTAAATACACAGTATTTTGGATACCCGAGCTGTTTCTTGAACATTGGTTCATTTTCATATTTTTCATATGGCACATGTACAAGTTATAGCTCAAATGAAAGCTCTTGCCGGTGCTCATACGGTTCTAGCATTCTTTTACTGAATTATATTTACGTATCAAACAGTTGCTGAATGAATCGCAGTGTTTCCATAATGCAGAAGTGAAAACAATACATTTATGATCAATAAGCAGCCCCAGATAGCACAGACAGCTGTCATCTCTTACCTTATGCTGTGCGCTTCAGGGCCATTCTCCTCTGTTTTTGAGGTGATGTGCATAAGTAATCCTTTTATATGTCTGACGTGCTCCAAACACAGTGAATTATGGTTGATCAAACAAAAGAATAGTGAAATATGAAAGCAATGATCGCTCTCTGTGGCTTGTACAGCACCTCTCATCAGCTGGAATACAATAACTTTTGCATAGATTATGGTGGAGACATGTTTTCCTATGATTACAGACATGTGCAGGAACCACCAACATTAATTACAGCACGCTAGACCACACACAACCTAAAAGGGACACTTTCAAATATGAGTTTATAAAAAAATGAAAATACTAAAAGCGCCTCTTTTTGTTAGGTGTTTATTATAACAGACAACATATACAGATATTTTAAACACTTTCAATAGTGTTTTATGAAAATTTAAAGAGTTTTCTTTAAAATGATACCAACTACAAAATCAGTTTTATCACATCATTTTTGCTGGGTTCCAGGACATGTCGGGCTTTCAGGCAATGAGCGAGCTGATGCAGCTGCTAAAGACGCTTTGAAGCAAGTAGTTAACAAATGTCAAATTTCTCCGTCAGAGATGAAACCTTTTATCAACGCTTACATTTTAAACAAGTGGCAAAAGGAATGGGATGCATTAGAAAATAATAAATTACATGAAATCCAACCTGAAATCTCACACAGAATTTTAAGATATTTTAAGAATCGATTTGATCAAGTAGTTTTTACCAGATGTCGTATTGGGCATACGAGAATAACACATGGTTTTTTACTCCAAGGTGAAAACCCTACTCAGTGTTTGTGCTGCAAAACTCCTCTTACTGTAAAACACATTTTACTGGGCTGTCCTGCTTTTACTGACTCCAGAAGACTTTTTTATGCAATGAACTCTTTTAAGGACATTTTTAACAAAGTGAAACCAGAAAAGATTCTAGAATTTTTATCATGTATTAACACACAAAAAAAAATCTTATTTAATCTATGTATTATTTTGTTTGTTGATTTTTAAATTGTATATTTATAGTTGAAAGATTCCTGCCATGAAAATAGCCTTGGTTGCTGACATGGCATTACATAAAAAATACATTACATTACATTTAAAATGATACCAAATGTTTGCATTTACACCTCTGCATGTGGATTTGGGAAGCTTTTAAATTTGGGTAGGCAAAATCCAGGCGGAAATCCCCAAATAACAGCAGAGTTTAACTGGTTAACCGACAACAATACAAGTTTCTGCCACCGCAGCATCTTATTTTCATATTTCTTTAGCATTGTTTGCTTATTTTATACATCAAAACTAGCATAAACCTAGAATTTAGTGCGAGTCGGTGCTACATTGCCTTGTTGTCAGTGCAGTAAGAGACTGTATTATCATCAATACTTGTTAAGCACAAACATTCGTAACATACACAATGTAAAAAAACACAATCTTACCTATGAAATGTTCTGCCTATATGCTTTGTTTTCACATTACTACACCCGTACACATCACTAAAGTCCAGCATCTTTACATTGGCTTTAGTCTTGACTAGTGCAGTTGAATGACATTTGTCCTGTGAGCACTGTACTAATGTGGCGGCGCTATTGACTCATGCTCAGGGTTTGTATGTGATATCCAGTATATATATCTATGCCCACTCAGGGCTGTTTATGCTAATGAGGGAGAGATGGGCACTAGTGGGCGGGGCTTTCCCCCCTCTGATGACACGTACAAAGAAAGAATGTCAATCAAAGTGATTCTGCAGACTGTTTTAATCAAGTCTGATGATAAACTGATTATTAACAACAGATGCTGTGACTATTAAACACTGATGCATTTAGTGGAGTGTATCGGTATTAATGCGTGTGTGTTTTGTGTGTTTTTCTTCACCTCTCTGTCAGCCTGGTAAAGACAGTAAGCTGCTGCCGGCTCTGTTGTTGGCGCGTGTGGTTTTCGTGCCGCTCTTCATGCTGTGTAACGTTCAGCCTCGCTATAACCTGCCCGTCTTCTTCACACACGACGGCTGGTTCATCGCCTTCATGATCCTCTTCGCTTTCTCCAATGGATATCTGGCCAGTCTGTGCATGTGCTTCGGCCCAAAGTGAGTTAAAAACACACGCACATCATCTATTTGCATCTGGTTTTCTTCATTTTAGCAGCACTGATGAATGAGCACTGTTAGACAGGTAAACATCAGACTGAATCACCTGTGAGTGAATGTTTGTTTGTGTTTGCAGGAAAGTGGACCCGAGTGAAGCAGAAACAGCAGGAGCCATCATGGCCTTCTTCCTGTCTCTCGGTCTGGCCCTCGGAGCGTCTCTATCCTTTCTGTTCAGAGGACTCGTCTGAATCAAACACAGCACAGTGTTGAAGACAAGAAACCAGATCTAGAGCAGAAAACCCAGATCCAGAGCAAAAACCAGATCAAGACTACAAATTATATCCAAAGCAGAAAACCAGATCCAGAGAAAGAACCAAGACTCAGAGCAAAAACTAGATCCAGAACAGAAAGCAGATCCAGAGCAGGAACCAGATCCAGAGCAGACACCAGATCCAGAGCAAAAACCAGATCCAGAGGAGAAACCTAGATCTAGATCATAAACCCAGATCCAAAACAGAAACCCAGATCTAGATCATAAACCAGATCCAAAACAGAAACCCAGATCTAGATAATAAACCCAGATCCAAAACAGAAACCCAGATCTAGATAATAAACCCAGATTCAGAGCAAAATCCAGACCCAGAGCAGAAACCCTGATTCAGAGCAGAAACAACTAGATCAAGACCAGAAACCCAGTTGCAGAGCGAAAACCAGATTCAGAGCAGAAACTGGATCCAGATCAAAAACCAGATAAAGAGCTGAAACCAGATCAAAATCAGAAACCAGATCAAGGCCATAAACCCAGATTAAGATTAGAATCCAGATCCAGAACAGAAACCAGATCAAGGTCAGAAACCAAGATCCAGATCATAAACCCAGATCAAAATCATAAACCCTGATCCAGAGC